CCGAGTGGCTGGGACTACAGGCGCGCGCCACCATGCCCAGCTAATTTTTGTATTTTTAGTAGAGACGGGGTTTCATCTTGTTGACCAGGATGGTCTCAATCTCTTGACCTCATGATCCACCCGCCTCGGCTTCCCAAAGTGCTGGGATTATAAGGCGTGAGCCACCGCGCCTGGCCTAATTTTTATTTTATTTTTTTGAGACAGAGTCTAGCTCTGTCACCCAGGCTGGAGGTGCAGTGGCACGATCTTGGCTCACTGCAACCTCCGCCTCCTAGGCTCAAGCAATCCTCCCACCTCAGCCTCCCTAGTAGCTGGGACTACTGGCGTGCACTACTATGCTCAGCTAATTTTTTGTATTTTTGGTATAAACGGGGATTTGTCATGATGCCCAGGCTAGTGCTGAACTCCTGAGCTCAGGTGATCTGCCCACCTTGGCTTCCCAAAGTGCTGGGATTACAGGCTTGAGATATTACACCTGGCCCACCAATTAGTTTTTGAGAGACTTAATTATAATATACATGGGTTACTCTGCTAGGTCCTAGGCAGCCAGAAAAAAACATATAAATATACATATGTGACATATATTACCTTCACAGAGCAATGTTTATAAGTTTTTAAAGCGAACAAATTGAGAGAATAAAGTGATATGGCATGTTGCAGCACTAAAGTTGGCTAACAGAAATATCTTTTTTGTTTTTTTTGAGACAGAGTCCTGCTCTGTTACCCAGGCTGGAGTGCAGTGGTGCGATCTTAGCTCACTGCAATCTCCGCCTACCAGGGTTCAAGCGATTCTCATGCCTCAGCTTCCTGAGTAGCTGGGAATACAGGTGCACATCACCACGCCAAACTAATATTTGTATTTTTAGTAGAGACGGGGTTTCGTCATTTTGTCCAGGCTGGTCTCAAACTCCTTACCTCAAGTGATCTGCCCACCTTGGCCTCCCAAAGTGGTGGCATTACAGGTGTAAGCCACCATATCGGTTTCTAAAATATCTTAAAGAAATTTTCAACATATTAATTCCACTCCTTGGCATCACAGTTCCATACATATCTGCAAGGACCACGCCAAGTCAGAAGGCAGCAAAGAGGGGTTTTCTGCTAGAATGTCTGTGTTCCCCTCTTCAATGGGCTGATTTTTTCCTATGCATTCTTGTGTCTACATAGGCTCAACTAAAACTGTGACACTATAATGATTATAACAATTATGTTGCTATTGGGCTTGCCAACTCTTCTATTTTTTAGGTAGTCAAATAGTATATGTTAATTTTTTTTTTTTGAAACAGGGTCTTGCTCTGCCAATAAGGCTGGAGTGCAGTGGTACAATCTTGGCTCACCGCAACCTCTGCCTCCAGGTTGAAGCAATTCTCGTGCCTCAGCCTCCCCAGTAGCTGGGACTACAGGGGAGTACCACCACACCTGGCTAATTTTGTTTTTTTCTCAAGACAGAGTCTTGCTCTGCTGCCCAGGCTGGAGTGTAGTGGTGTGATCTCAGCTCACTGCAACCTTCACCTCCCAGGTTCAAGGGAGTCTCCTGAGTAGCTGGGATTACAGGCGCCCGCCACCACATCCAGCTAATTTTTATATTTTTCGTAAAGAAGGGGTTTCACCATGTTGGTTAGGCTGATCTCAAACTCTTGACCTCTGGTGATCCCCCTGCCTTGGTCTCCCAAAGAGCTGGGATTACAGGTGTGAGCCATGGGCTCAGCCTTTATATTAAAATTTTAAATGAGGCCGGGTGCAGTGGCTCACACCTGCAATCCTAGCACTTTGGGTGGCTGGGAAGTGGGTGGATCCTGAGCTCAGGAGTTTGAGAACAGCCTGGCAACATGGCAAAACCCTATCATTACAAAAAAAAAAATACAAAAAATTAGTCGGGCATGCTGGCACATGCCTGTAGTCCCAGCTATTTGGAAGGCTGAGGCAGGAGAATTGCTTCAGCCTGGGAGGTGGAGGTTGCAGTGAGTCAAGATCAGGCCATTACACTCTGGCCTGGGCGACAAAGCAAGACTCTGTCTCAAAAAACAAAAACAAAAACAAAAACAACACACACACACACACACACACACACACAATAAATAAATAAATAAATAAATAAATACAATTGAAATGAACTTACTTTAGTTCTGGGCCCCTTGAGAAGGTTGCTGAATCGAGAACTCCCAGACCTGAGAGCAGTTACCTCAGATAAAAAATCAGTCTCAAAACATACAAGTTTGTTCTATGAAAATTTTGGCAGAGGCCAGGTTCAGTGGCTCACACCTGTAATCCCAGCAGTTTGGGAGGCCGAGGTGGGTGGATCACAAGGTCAGGAGTTCAAGACCAGCCTGGCCAATATGGTGAAACCCTGTCTCTACTAATAATACAAAAATTAGCCGGGCGTCGTGGCACATGCCTGTAGTCTCAGCTACTCAGGAGGCTGAGGCAGCCTCCTCAGCTCAGGAGACTGAGGAAAATAGCCTGAACCCGGGAGGTGGAGGTTGCAGTGAGCTAAGATTGTGCCACTGCACTCCAGCCTGGATGACAGAGCAAGACTGTCTCAAAAAAAAAAATCATAAATTTTTATCGGAAAATGGCAGTGAAAATTTATGGTAAATCTATAGGACGATTAAGATCGTGAGAAAAATTAAAGAAAATCTTAAGCCTTCCATTGCGAAGTGAGAAAAATCAAGTCAAGTGGAAGAGAGACTGGCTTCATCCATTTTTCATTTCTGTGAGTGCCATAAAAAAAAAAAAAAAGAAAAAAGAGAGAAAAAGGGCTGGGCGTGGTGGCTCACGCCTGTAATCCCAGCACTTTGGGAGACCGAGGTGGGTGGATCAAGAGATGGAGACCACCCTGGTCAACATGGTGAAACCCCGTCTCAACTAAAAATACAAAAAATTAGCTGGGCACGGTGGCGTGTGCCTGTAATCCCAGCTACTCAGGAGGCTGAGGCAGGAGAATTGCCTGAACCCAGGAGGCGGCGGTTGCGGTGAGCCGAGATCACGCCATTGCACTCCAGTCTGGGTAACAAGAGCGAAACTCTGTCTAAAAAAAAAAAGAAAAAAATCCCCAAAAAACTCTGAATTCCTGAGTGTTAATGAAATAAATGTACCCATTAAGAAATCTTGTCTTGTTTGGGCACAATGCCTCATGTCTGAAATCCCAGAGTTTTTAGGAGGCTGAGGTGAGAGGATGGCTTGAGCTCAGGTGTTCAAGACGAGCCTGGTCAATATAGTTTGTCTCTTCCCGCCAAGAAGAAAACGTAGTGTGGTATGGGTGGGTAGGTGACACTGGCCTGCAGTCTCAGCTACTTGGAAGGCTGAGGTGGGAGGACTGCATGAGCCCTGGAGGTCAAGGCTGTAGTAAGCCTTGTTTGTGCCACTGCACTCCAGCCTGGGTGACAGAGGGAGGCCCTGTGTCCAAAAAAAAAAAAGTAAAACAACAGCAACAACAAAAACCACAGTCTTTCCTCTTCCACTTGGGATGAGGAAAAATTAAAAAAAAAAAAAAAAAAAAAAATATATATATATATATATATATAAAAGAAATCTTATTTATATTACTTTAAAACTGTAATTAACTTACATAACTTACACTTTGTGAAGGAAAGAAAATAAGTCCACAAGGGCCGGGGGTGGTGGCTCACGCCTGTAATCCCAGCACTTTGGGAGGCAGAGGAGGGTGGATCACGAGGTCAAGAGATCGAGACCATCCTGGTAACATAGTGAAACCCCGTCTCTACTAAAAATACAAAAAAATCAGCTGGGTATGGTGGCACATGCCTGTAATCCCAGTTACTCAGGAGGCTGAGGCAGGAGAACTGCCTGAACCCAGGAGGCGGAGGTTGCGGTGAGCCGGGATCGCACCATTGCTCTCCAGCCTGGGTAACAAGAGCGAAACTCCATCTCAAAACAAAAAAAAAGAAAAAAGGAAATAAGTCCACAAGCTAAATTTTGAAGTATTAGATCCTTTCATAAACTTTTGCCCTTCGGATTGTCAATGTCAAAGATAGTTTTCAAGGGGCCCAAACTGGCTCCAAACTGTTATTAAATAAGTCTTATTTTTTATTGCTGTGCATTTCTCCTGAAATCAATTCTCACTGCTTATGTGGTTAGAAAAAGTTTCTGCTATTGAATATAAAATTCAAATTATCCATGGATATGCAATAAACTTCACAAATAAATGGACAGCAGTGCATCTATGCCCCAGGTCTAACATTTTTATGAGAAAACACAGATTGAATAAGTGGAGTGTAATTCTCAGGAAAATGATCATTATGTATGTGATACTCACCAGATATGCAAAAATCTTACCGGTTCTGATTTTGACCTGTCACGGAATCGGTGAAGTCATTTGCCAAGTTGTTTTTCTTTTTTTGCCAGAGATAAAAAAGTTCTCTTAATATATTTCAAACCATTACCTTTTTCCTAAATAACTAGTGATTGTTCTTTTTCCTTTACTATGGTAACTTAAAAACGCTGTCCAAAAATATCCTGCAAAATTTGCATTACAGCGAAACAACTCGGCCGGCGTCAGTGCGGATAAGGAGGCTACACTTAGGAGGCGTGAGGGTGCTGATGATGCAAATGAAAACTTCATTAGGAATTCCCATCCTCAAATCTGGGCCAAAGAAGCGACACCCACCTAGTGCGGCCAGAAACTCACAAGGGGTGCCGGAGTCAAGGGGCTTCGGGAAGCGCGAGCGCGCGTTCTCTCTGGGGTCCTGGAGCCTCCTACTCATGCATGGGAATGAAATCGTCACGTACCTCCTGGCACTGTCTTCAGTGACCTTCAGCTACTCGGCATTACTTTTTCTGTCTTTGAAAACTCGGAGAGAAGCAGCCGCCACCTGCCTGAGGCCAAGGCAATAAACCCACATCACAGGCAAGTCTGAGCCCCGCAGGAATGGGTGCACAGCGGCCTCCTGAGCCTTTTCTCACCAGCTCAGATTCTGCACTCGCCGCCGCGCAAACGCGGAGGGGGCTCGGAGGCCCGCAGGTTTCAGATCCCTCGCCTCGTGGGGTCGCGCAGGGGTTGGGGAGAGAGGAGCGGTGGCCGCGGGGCCTCGGCCCTTCCCTGGGGCGGGGCGTGAGCGCCACCCCGCCCCTTCTTTCCCCCTTTTTCTGCACCCCTCCCCCGCCCTTTTCCACCCGCCCCCGCAGAAGGAAAGGGAGAGGGAGGGCGAAAGGAAAGTCTGTTCTGTGGCAAGGGGCGGAAGGAGGGGGAGAAAAGGAAAACGGGAACAGAAACATGGCGGTCTGCTCTTGGGACGACCGCGGTGCAGGCAGCTTCTAGGCGACCCGCCGGCCGCACTGCCCTACGGCACAGAACGCCGAGGCGCCGGTGCTAACCAGCTCTCCCGCGGTTACCCCCGGCTGCAGGCGGCGCCCCTCCAAAACTCAGCCGGCGAGGCGGCGCAGGCGCAGACCGGGGCGAGGCGGCTGCCGCTGGAGCTAGTCTCCCGCCCTGCCCTGCCTAGCGCGCTCAGGCCGCGAAGCCGGTGCTTTCATGCTCCAGGAAGAAGCCGTGTCGGGGTAGCGCTGACTGAGGAGCGGGCGGCAGGTGAGGCTGCGGCGCGGGGCTTTTGGCGAAGGAAGTCTGCGTGGTGCCCTCGCGGGCTTGCGTTGGGAGGCTGGGAGGGCGCCGGGCAGGTAGAGCCTGGAGCGCTGAGTTCCGAGTGGCCGGCCCGCGGGGGTCGCCGAGGAGGCTGACAGTGGCCGCGGCTGGCGTTCTCGGCCTAGTTTCTCCGCGGTTTCCGGCGGCGGGGAGTCCCCGGAGCCAGCGGGAAGCGGTCGGGGAAAGGCTGCTTCTGAAGAGCCTCCCCGCGCCGCCTCCCGGGCCCCTGAGAATCGTTTGCGTCCTAGAGAGAGGGGTCTTGGCCTGGGTACCGCCGGGGCGACGGCGCCTGGTTGGGGACCGGGGTGCGGAGGGAGCGGGATCGGGGGTTCCCAGAGGGGTTGAGGCGGAGAGTGCGGAGAGCTAGAGCCAGGGGTGGCGGGCAGTCTTGAGAGGGATTGGGGGACTGAGAAGTGCCAGGGACAACTGGGAGGACGGGGACCTGGGCAGGTGTCGCCTGCGAGTTGAGGACGTTTTCTACTCTGCCTTACGGTGGCTGATCCTCCGGGCTTCTTTGTGGGGGATGATTTTTAGGAAGGCAGGGTCCTTTTAACTCTGGAGTAACTAAACAAAACCAAGGAATGAACCCGTAGTGCTGAGTCCTGTAAAGAGCTGTAACTTTTTTTTTTTTTTTAAAGAATGCGGTCATGTCGTTTTTTTTCCTTTCTTTTTCTGCTTCATAGACTTTTTTCCTCTCGAAGACCATCTTTTATCTGCACTAATAGGGAATGACCCAGTTTTTAAATAGTACCCCCTCCTCCTCCCATTACCTATGTGTGTGTCACACGGGAAAATTTAGGGTGGTTACCGCAGTTACTTGCGCAAATGTGAAGGAAAGTGTCATTTCCAGTAGTGAATCCTCGGCCTGTGCCTCCGAGATACCGTCAAGCGTTTTAGCCTGAGAAATTGACCCACTGATCCTGCTTAATTGCGTGCAAACCCGTGTTGAGGCATTCTTCTCAGGCCCTAATTTACTTAGGAATAGGTTTTTCCTTCTGGTCTGAGTATAATGAGAGGGGAGAACGTTAGCGCTAAGGCGCTAAGTTCTGAATAAATACTTGATTTAATGTGATCGTGTGTATTACATACACTATCAGAAATGCAGAGCGTTGTCTGATTTTTCTGTGTACCTTCGATAAGAGCAATATGTTGCAAAAGGAAAATTTTATCCCTGACCGTTAAAGGATACCTATTCTTGATCACCATAACCTTGAAAAAAAAAACCAAACACTTATTTTCTGTCCTGTTCTTTGTATTACTGTTAAAGAGTTGCTAAACTGCCTTCTTGCTGTGAGATTGGGAACTCAGCAGTGAACTTTGATTTGTATTCATGAACATGATCTGCCTCTCATATAGGCTTGCTTTGACTTGTCTTTTTCAGTAATGGCAAAGGGTTTTCTGCCACTCAATCCACAGTTTCCTCCCCGTTGGTATCTCCGTTGACCATTTTGCAAAATAGTTTTTTGAGTTTAGGGGTCTGATCTTTTTATAACCTATTTTAGTGAAGTGATCATATTGCCTTAACTTTGGCCAATAGTACCTCGTTCAGTGTACAGTACTACTATTTAGACTTACTGTTGTATAATAGAAAAGCTATGATGTTAGAAATGCTGAAGCTGTATATTGGAGAAATTTTGAATTTGCATACTGGAGTAGTAATTTGGTTCTGTATGCTTTGTAAATGAGTGCATTCTGTTGTCGAGAGTAAATACGGTATTTTGTAGTATAAACTTAAGCTTTTAGCTGAAGAAATTGGCAGCATGGTTGGAATGTGGAGACTATTCTTAAAACGCAAATGTTTTAAATTACAAGGAACTGCAGTGGTGTGTAGGCTGTAACAATTCCTGGTGCCAAATTTGGGAGATTATTTGGTTGAGGTGCTTTCTCTAAAGAAACATATTAAGTTTCTGCAATAAAAGCGAATTTGTAGCTATACACAAGGGATTTTACATTATAAATAATAACTCAGTAAGGCACCTTTCTTTGCTCTTTGTGTGTCTGCCAGTTAAGACCAAAGCATCTTGTATTTTCATTGGAGTTTCCTGCCAAAACAAATATTGGTTTTGCGTTGGCTTTGTTGCTCAGTTTGAAAGCTAGGGGAGTCTCTCAGAGCCTATTCTGGTTCTGGAGGCTACCTGATTTAAAAAAAAAAATTGAAGGCTAGGTTTAGTCATGTGTTTGCACCTTAAGTACAGGTTGTAAAATAAAAAGAAAGTTGCTGAGTCAGTGGCAGGTTGTTTCATTTGTTCTTTTTGATTTGCAAAACAAAAATCTGTCGTAGTTTGAATTTCCAGTATAATGTGGTTGCTGAATAGTAAGGGCAAATAAACTTTTATAATAACTAAATTAAAATGTTAATTTTCTTTTTACTGGTGCCACAGATTGTCAGTTTGACAGATAGACTTGTAGTAAAGGGATGCCTTGTTGGAATTGAAAATTCTTTTTTTTTGAGACAGAGTCTCACTCTAGCCCAAAGTGGAGTGCAGTGACACAATCTCAGCTCACTGCAACCTCTGCCTCCCAGGTCCTGGTTCAAGCAATTCTTCTGCCTCAGCCTCCTAACTGGGATTACAGGCATGCACCACCATGCCCAGCTAATTTTTGTATTTTTAGTAGAGACGGGGTTTCACCATGTTGACCATGCTGGTCTTGAACTCCTGACCTCGTGATCTGCCCTCCTCAGCCTTCCAAAGTGCTGATTATAGGCGTGAGCCACCGCGGAAAACTTTTTTTTAGACGGATTCTCACTCTGTCACTCAAGCTGGAGTGCCATGGTGCGATCTTGGCTCATTGCAACCTCTGCCTCCCAGCTTCAAGCGATTCTTCTGCCTCAGCCTCCCGAGTAGCTGGAATTACAGGTGCCCACCACAACACCTGGCTAAATTGAAAATTTTTTAAATTTTTAGTAGGGAAGGGGTTTCTCTATATTGGCCAGGCTGGTCTTGAACTCCTGATGATGTGATCCACCTGCCTAGGCCTCCCAAAATGCTGGGATTTCAGGCTTGAGCCACTATGTCGAGCCTTTGAAACTTTTAATTGAAAAAATGTAACATAATTAAAAGAAATTTAAAAGAAAACTTTTAAATTACTCTCACCGATCTAACACTTATATTTTTCTGTACTTTAATCCTATTATACTTCTATAAAATAGTAGTATAATATTCTAATCCTATCTGTGCTTGTGTATAATTCTATGATTAGTGTTAATATAATTGTCTTTCAATTTAACATGCTTTCCCTGGTGCCACATAATGTTATTTTATGGCTTTTAGTAGTCCAAAGTTTTATTTACTGTCTCAATTTATTTAACCACTCATATCTTAACATTTTAGTAATTCCACTTTTTTACTCTATTTTTTTTTTGACAGGGTCTCACTTTGTTACCCATGCTAGGGTGCAGTGGCATGATCTCAGCTTATTGCAGCCTCTACCTCCCGGGTTCAAGTGATCCTCTTGCCTTAGCCGTCTAGTAGCTGGGACTACAGGTGTGTGCACATGTGTGTGCGTCACCACACCTGGCTAACTTTTTGTGTTTTTTGTGGAGACAGGGTTTCACCATATTGCCCATGCTGGTCTTGGACTCCTAAGCTCAAGTGATCTACCCACCTCAGCTTCTCAAAATGCTAGGATTACAGGCGTGAGCCACCATGCTGGCCCATACTTTTTTACCCTTAAAATATTGCTATGGTAAAATTGTTTTGCTAATGTGATGGTCCATGGGTCTATGCCAGATTACTTTTTGAAGTTTTGGGAAAGTCATCTTTCTTTGAATTGTTTCCTTTGCAGTAGATTATTAGGGCTTCTACAATATAGTATTTAATCGAGAACCGAATTGAAACAAGGTGAAAGAGTGTAGATGTGCATGGATCACTTAAATTCCTTGAGTAGGAATCAAAATATATATTCATAATTCTCCTGTTAATGACATGATCAAAATTTGTGTACATTAACTTTTATAATGTTAAAAGTAATGTAGTTCTTATATTTCAGTAATTTTGTGGGGCTTAAATGTTTCTAAGTGTTTTTTGTGTCAAGCAAACCTAATGTCTACAAATCCAGATTTATTATCTGTTGGCTTATAGAAGAGTCATCTTATATATCTTGGTAATATTTTAGTTTGTCTTTGTAATATTTAAAGATTGTCCTCGAGTTGAGTTTTTTCTTTGATATATTTTTCTTTTTTTTGAGACAGAGTTTCGCTCTTGTTACCCAGGCTGGAGTGCAATGGTGCGATGTCAGCTCACCGCACCACCATCTCCTGGGTTCAGGCAATTCTCCTGCCTCAGCCTTCTCAGTAGCTGGGATTACAGGCATGTGCCACTGTGCCCAGCTAATTTTTTTGTATTTTTAGTAGAGACGGGGTTTCACCATGTTGATCAGGATGGTCTCGATCTCTTGACCTCGTGATCCACCTGCCTTGGCCTCCCAAAGTGTTGGGATTACAGGCGTGAGCCATCATGCCTGGCTGATATATTTTTCTTTTCTTATGTTATTAGCCAGGAGATATTCTTATCTGAGAATCTAGTTTTTTATTTTGCATGTACGGTTTGTTTATCTCTTAATTTAAGGATTCTTAGATCCTAAAAGCAAAAACATTATAAATCTGTTTTTTAATTATGGAAAGGAGGAGCTGTTAAAGAGGTACTTTTGTATTTGCTAGGAATAATAAGAAGAATGATATGAAAAGGTGACTAGTAAGGTCTAATAGGTTAAACAGTCCTATAAATAAGCACCATAACTACAACACAACAAATATAGAATGGAGCAAAATGTGCTGCAGAAACAGAGGGAAACACCTGTGTGGTGTGGATTAGAGAAGGTTTACATAGAAGACATCTGATTAAAAACTTAAAATTTGCTCTAAAAAGGCACAAAATAATGAAAAAATGTGATGAAGCTTATTAAAATGCAGGTAATTCAGAGGGAGTGGGTACCAAGCTGGAGAG